ACAGGAGTTTACAGGTGAAGGTGAGTCATTTTGGTGAGACCTGTTATTTAATATGAACTGACACGAGGAACTAGCGAAAATGGAAACCCCCAAACCGAACAGCGCCCAATTTGGCTTGGAAGAATAAGGCACATCTGGATAGTTCTTGTCAATATGCCGAGTGAACTGTCTACTTGCCCGCTATTTTGTGGAGACCTGTTACATCTTGCTAAGGGGTATGTGGCAAGAGAATCGAATTCGCCGCGAATAAATATGTCAGACTATTTTGTGGAAACCTGTAAAGTGTAATTGCCCGCTCTTTTTAACTTTACCATTTAAGTGCTGCTACGTAAAGGTACAAGCAAGTTTAATTTCCACGCCGTTTCCTCGTTGCATGTTAGCGCGAATAATCTTCGGGGGGGGGGGGAGGGGGATGATCGCTCCACGATTTCTGACGAAACCGCTGTGAGAACCGCAAGCCTCTCCTCCTTCCTTCTTCCTTCCTCCTACTTTCTCTCTTCCTTATTTCCCTCATCAAATGGTCGGGTAGAACAGGTGATGATACGTTTTCCTCGGCTTATTGGTCGGGCATAACATACGATGAGAAAATAATCTTTACACTTGGCTCAGGAAAACATACGAGATACAGTACTCCTGAAAGTTGCCCGTGAAGTTGAAAGCGTCTACTTCGTGATTACACGCAATTGCTCCTACCGTAGACCGGTTTACTTACCCAAGTTTGTTAGCTTGTGTTAGACGCCTTCTGCCTGAGGATCCGAGGTGAGCTCGTGGAGCGAGAGCGACGATGTACATGTACACTGCTCATCATTGCGGACTGTCGGGGCCGGGCGTGAGCGGCGCGGCTCGAGCTGCCTTGCTCTACCAATGGCGATCGGGTAAAGATCGATTCAGGAGAAATCAACCACTGGTGGAAGCGCCGAGGTGGGAACCGCTGATTGCGACCCGACAGTTGCAATGATATAAATTGTACACAGGTGCTGCCTAGCCATCCGAGTGGTTTTCGCTCTTCCTAGGCGCTCTGTTCTACGCCCAGTTTTGGTACTGTATCCCTCCAGTTTCCCTAAACCAATAATTTATTGACAGAAGACAGCATTTAGACGTTTGAAGACCTGTTCTGTAAAACCAGGATAACCGTAATGCGAAATCCGGGTGGGATTACCGTACCTCAGATCAGTTCTCCTAATTCGCATTACGGTAGTTCCAATATGCATGACGAGCTCTTCAAGTCTCCTGCCCCACAAAGATTACTAGCGCCGTTTTTTTCTGGTGGCCGACGGCATGTGCTGCAGGAAGATGCAAAGAAAGGATGAGCAATGGGAAGGAGTTCAGGGATATTAAAAAAGCTTATTTGAAGACGAAATTGGTAACATTGTGTATACACAGGTGTTTACAAAGTTTCTCCTCCCAGTACAAGCTGAAGAGAGGGTAGCCGGTTTTACTTGCGTTATGGAGACGGAAAATCGGCCCAGTTGCGATTACAAGTGCGATTTATGCGTGTTTCAAGGGGTGACAGCGTGGAAGAGGACAGAAGTAAGAATGTGCCTGCGAGCGAGCTCGTGCTCGGAAGTCTCGTGCTCGTAAGTTTGCACTGATTACAAAAACCGTTGACGTGACAAAGGCGGTGATGACTTGTCTATTATTGTTGGTCCGAGAGGGTTTCACATGCCACAGCGCCGATAATAAACGAGTTATGGGGGGCGTTGCGAACATTCTACCTCGACTCGACGAAAAAAGTCATTACAAGTATGCCTTCAGCCAGCGGCTCTGACCCTTCCCTAAACAAGGCTTAGTCCAAGGAACAGACGACCTGAATCGACGCGGACTTCGCGAGAGGCTTCCAACGGGGTCTTCTGTGTGCAAGGGTAGTGTAGTGAGCTAGAAGACCGGAAAAATCCCTTCGTGAAAGATTATCTATGATCGCTAAGATCTCACAATTTCAACTTTTCGTGTATGGTGAGTGGCTCACCTACAGTGGCTTCTTTCGTACCCTTCAATGTTATGACAGTCACAGCCCTGTATCTCTCCGCCCAGTGCTCCATGCGACTCTGGTAGTGTGTGCTTCAATCCTGAGCCTTTGTTAGGGGAGAGGATGCCGGGTTCGTCTGAGCTCTACTGGGCCGAATGTAGGTAATGGGGGGGCAAAGATCATTGCGAACCCATTTTTTTTACCCTCTGTAGAAGCGTGCAGACGAGTAGTGAAAAAGCTGTTTAGGGTGAGCTCGTGCAACTCTCTTCAGCTATCTCGTCGCTAAGGAATAGGGTTTGATATTCTGGGCACAGTAATGATTAGAGTTACACTCCATATCCCGAAGAGTTAGAGGGCGTGACTGCGTACATAGTTAATTTGACCATGACATAAGAAGCTTCTCGTGGGATATTTTTATTACTGTCCTCCAGTCTTATACTGGAGAAGTGCAATGGTTACGACGTCAAATGTCCGCAAGACGAAAAAGTCTGCACAAGAAAGAGGCCTTTGTCGTGACTTCAAACGAAGCATGCAGCCACGTCCTCTTCACCATCGGTATATGGAGTGTAGGTTCGACATTTAGCGTCCAGTCGCTTTACTTAGTCACTGGGGGCTTACAAAGGTTCCATTCTGTCAAATACCGTAGCAGCCACTTTCTGCATTACATTATCATTAAGCATTATCTCCATCAAAAACAGTGAATTAGAAGAGGGGGCCAAGTATCAAGCCTCTACAAGTTTGAGGCTTTGGACTCTGATCTGTTATAAATAATCAAGGGTCCATGCGTGCGTCATTCTCATGCTCAGTTGTTCTCGCCGCTTTTCCTCAGTAATTATAGCTCCGCTGAAAAGTGGTCATTGGTCCGGAAAAAGGTGGTTTCTAGCTGGTCTTTTCGAATACTGCATGACATGAGCTCTTATCTCTGCGCTCCCGTGCTTTGATACCTCCACAACTTAACCACCTGACTTGTGTTGCCGTTATTACAGATCACAGGGTTTCTATGAATAAAAGTAGATAGCTAAGGGATATGGACCCACTGACTGACCATAGTTACTGATGGCGTGGGATATGGATATGGACTTAATGATGACATAGGAAAATAACATTTGAATTACACCAAAGTTTTCTAGACCTCTCATGCTTTCCAGTATTTTTAGTGGTTCTGTACTTCTCTGAGAGGGCAAGAACACTGATGTCACAGTGAGTTTACTCCTGAAACCTTATTCTAGAGGATAAATCCCTCTACATTTCAGCTGAAACTTCTTTGACCGAGGAATTGGATCGCGGGATGATCGAATACGTGAAATATTGGGTCACTGGCTTTGCTATTTTGTGAGTTCAAAGGGATCAAACCCGGTTCAAATTATGAGTCACCTTGTAAACCATAAGGCTGCGTTCATACATTACGGCAGCGTCCACCAGCGACCATCAGCGTTTCGAGAGTCCGTCAGCGTCAGCGACTAGGAAAGTATAGATATCGATCTAGCGAACGGCAGCGTCTACCAGCGTCACCAGCGCCCACCAGCGTCTCGAAGGACTAGGAAAGTATGGATATCGATCTAGCGTCTACCAGCGTCCACCAGCGACCAGGAGTACGGTATTGTGTAGCAGTTGTGCGGTTGCCCACACCACAATTTCACAACGCCTAATCTAGCTTTCTCATTCCTCCTACTCCCCATAATCTACCCTACTGTCCTACTTCCCCATACTGTCTACTCCCGGTCGCCGGCGGACGCTGGTGGACGCTGCCGCACAGTAAGACAGCGCATCTCAGCTTCAGTACTACTTTTTTTGGAACTCTTTCAATAAACAGTGTGCCTGATGTATGTCTCAAGACACTAGAGATTTACGGTGCCTCACACGAGAAAAAAAACCAGTTCTGTACAACCCATTAGCTATAGAGTGAGTCATCTAAAAAACACGTTTTTTATGGTCAAGGGAAGGGAACAAACATTTCGTTCACAGCATGTTGTTACGTGGGACAGAAAGTGACAAGTTACTTGGAAGACACCAGGAAGAATATTGCCTCCGGGTGCCTTGCTCTACCAGCGTTGATGGCTTCGTCAGGATGAAAAGAACTTGTCCTGGAATGGCCGGGCTCACTAGATGTTTTTTGCAACCGCTCCGTCTGATTGCGATGTTACGAACTTTGCTTGCGTCACCTCGGAGCAGCTGCATGTCCAGGGTTGAGTCACTCGCTGCAGGTTCCTGCAGGATGTCGCGTCGATCACAAGCTGTTCGGACAACGCCGTGACGGTCAAAATTTTTCCCATGACACTACAAGTCAAGCTGATCGTTAAACGCTCTGGGATCCCAGACACGTCCGTCCTACAGATTCTGAAGAGACAACGGTCGGAAAGAGTATCTGAAGTCAATGTCTAGAGTTTCCATATGCCCCGTTACATCTGCTTGAGTGGGTCTTTGATGGTGCGCTTTACGAATAACCCATCTCCCCAATTCCCCCTGTCTGGCTGCGTTCATACTTTGCGGCAGCGTCCACCAGCGTTCCGAATGTACGGCAGCGTCAGCGACTAGGAAAGCATAGATATCGATCTAGCGTCTGCCAGCGTGCACCAGCGTCTACCAGCGTCCCAGAGAGGAGAGTATGGCGCGATAGGAGGGTAGCAGACAACTGGTAGAGTATGGGGAGATAGGAGGGTAGCAGACTGCTGGTAGAGAGTATGGCGCGATAGGAGGGTAGCAGACAGCTGGTAGAGTATGGGGAGACAGGAAGGTGGCAGACTGCTGGTAGAGAATATGACGCGATAGGAGTGTACAAGCTGCTTCGCGCCATATTCTCCTCTCCCGGACTCTGGTAGATGCTGGTGCACGCTGGCAGACGCTGAAAGCCGTTAGCAGACACTAGATCAATATCTAGACTTTCCTACTAGCTGACGGCCCCGGACGCTCGGAACGCTGGTGGAAGCTATTGGTCGCTGGGGATGCTGCCGCAAAGTATAAATATATCCTATGGAAATCTTGGGGGCAGCGCAAACTTCAGGTGGCACTTGTAGAAAGGCGCTGGACCACACCTCATGCACTGGTGTTGCCAAACACCCCTCTTCCCATGGTGCTTGGACTTCTGCCACCCATCTAGGCCAGATTGACAATTCGAAAAATGAAGCTAAGGGAAACAACCACACTTGCAACAAAGGAACCGTTTATTGATGGTCAATAAGTAAATACTCTCAAATAGAGATCGTGAAAAATTCAATATAAAGCAGAATTATGCATGCGGACTCTGGCTTGGCTAAACCAAGGGAGCTTGAGAACAAAACTAAAACACGTGTTGTTAAAGCTGGAGCTACCTTGGAACAACATTAAACTTTTAACAAAATAAAGCTATAAAGTGACGAACAGTAAGTAAACAAGGCAAGATCAAACCGGAGTCGAACCAGGCACAAAGACAGACTCTAGAAAAAAGAAAAATAACAAATTAGTAACTATGCTGCTCCATTATGCTCAATAAACTACAAAATAACAAACTGGAAATGGGAACAAATCAAAGAACGATACTCTGAGAGAACCACAAGAAGGATATGAAAGTAGTCGTAACGAAAGTGGGCGGGACTATCTAGTTCCGCCCACATTTTCCGTTAGTGGGTGGTGTTTACCTCCCATAGACAAGATAAACACGGCAAACACACGCACCAATGGTAGAGTGTGGGAGGGAACAATAGCCCCGTCCTCAGTCTCAGGCTTACTGCTTTAAGATGAAAAAAAAGCATAAGGGCTCAAAAACAAAGTTGAGACATTTTCAGTGCAGAAAGAGCTTCATAGATAGAAACTATATAATCGCGAATACAATTACAAAAAAAGTGCTGGAATCATCCTGATAACGTGCTCTGCGTGGTCTTTTCTTCTCATCATATAAGGCGATTGCTCTATTACAGGCGGTCTGGTGAATGTTTGCGTTTGCGACTCCTCATTTTATCTACAGCTTCCTCGTCTAGCATCACCGTTACCTCTTGAGGTTCTGGCTCTCCTATGAACTCTGCGACATTTGGAAAGGCAGACACCTCAAAACCAGTTTTATAAGCTTCTAGGTTCGTAATTGTCCAACAGCAGTATCTTTCAAGTGGAATGCAGAAATTGCTACTAAACTGGCATGCAATCGAAAACGAACCATCTCTTCGAGCTTCCAGTTGTCTTCCAACTTCAAGTGCTTTTCTATCTCCGGATTATCTTCAAGTAGTGTGAATACTCGCATGGTGCAGATATCACGTCGCAACGCTTCATAAAACCTGATTAAAACAACATCTCAATGCAACGAGGCATTTCATTTTTTCAAAAAAGTTTTATTATAATAAGTGCTGTTTCCCACCGTAGTTTGCTCCCCGGAAGGTATCACAAGATTGCTGTGTTACAGGCAGTGTTCACACCAAGTGAGATATGAACACGCACCTCACATTTCCTGGGCGAGTGCGCTATCTTTACGCAACTCCACATTTCACCCTCTCACCTTATAATGAAACTAGCTCAAAATGCCTAATTATTACGCGGCAACTGAAACCCTATGTAGGGTTAGCCTACTACTGGGGATCCTGAATGAAGAGCAGTCTGATAGCCAGCTCTAGTAGAAGATGGGATGGGTTACGGTAAGTGGTCTTCTTGTGAATGGGTGACGACCTGTTTTGGTGTCGAACTTCAGTAGGAATAGCAGTCGTTCGGCCGGGTAGCCACGAATTCCTCTTCGGTGTTGGGAACCATCCGAACTTGTTGAGAACTCCTAGCAAATCGTTTGTAAAAGGAAGAGTGAACGAGCTCTGTGAGATGTTGCAGTAATGTTAGAACTCTTTTGAGACATGCCTCTGGAGGAAAAGCAAGAAACCAAGCCAACCAAGAACGATCCTACGGCCTCAGGAATAAATGTTAGTGTGTTGGCCTCCAGGCGAACACAACATTGCTCCCGACGCCATGGTTGGCCTTAGTATTTGGTTCACTCGGCGGAGGGGCTTGTATTTGGCTCGAAAAATTCTTTCTAACAGTCGACTTTTCTGCTTCACGCGCGCTATCCTTAACGTTGGAAGACTCACATGCCCCAGTCTCCCGTCTCCGCCAGGGTTGACGGCACTACAAAACTACCACAAAACTTATTTCCGATAGCTGTATATGATGCCGACTTCCCTTTTCCCGCTCAGAGTTTTTTGGAGGAAAACTGGAATTTTTTTTTCAGGGGAAAACGAGGAAAAAACGGAAAGAAATTGCGTAAAGCCAGTAAGATGGTAGGTAGGATGAGGGTGGGGAAAAGTGTCGAACGGAAGGAAAGGGAAGAGGCCAGAACTTGCAAAAATTTTCCCGACGACACGAAGTGCCCCTGCCCACACACCTAATATAAGTGCCCCTTCATGCGACGAAATGTAGGATAACGTGAGGAACAAAGTCCTCACAACCCCGTCCAGAGAGGAGCTCGGTGATTTTCGAAAGCAGATAGGACGAAGGCGATAGAATCAGAATGAGATTATACAGATGCCCTTCACGTCTTCTTCCGCTACAGTGAGAGGGTGAGAGGTGGCCTTGGTGAGCGGATGCAAGCATTTGCCGACAAGATGCTGGACGCTGCAAGTATGAAGTGCAGTCTGGATCGCCTGGGGTGAGAAATTTCCGATAACCCATAAACGAAAAAGTCATATTCTATTATTCAGTTTGAAATTTACGCAAGCACGCGCGCATATTCAAAACCCCCTTGCCATGAAGTGGCAGAGAAGCAAGCCAAACACAGAGTGAAAACAGTGCCAAGACGTGTAACACTTCTTCGTCAGCCAAAAGTCATTTAGCTAAGCGACTGAGCAAAAGGTATCAACCGTATCCACTGGAGTTCCTACAAATTCTAGCCGAACAAGTGAGGTTCACAATGCAGAGTGGGCAACAGGGTCCTACGGATATCGCGCCTGTTACATGCATGGAGGTAGCTGCGGCTGTCCACAAGGACCACGTACGGCGGGTTCTGCCGAGCGCTGCTCTGTCTTCTAAACGTCGCCATCGACGGTGATCTCCGCACACGAGACATTTATTTCCGCAGCGGAGACGCCTTATGCTGTTCAATCAGGTGAGCATCCAAAAACAGCGACATTTGAGAGTCCATCTTTTGAATAAGATTCGGTCTCTCTGTAAGTCCAAACTCTCAACTCGAGTTTTGTAGAAGTTTCCTTACATTGCTGAAAGGTCATGAAACTCACTCCGGCTTCACTTCCTTGATATGTTGAAGAACACCAGCTCGGATTCTTCTCTGGAATCGGAAACATTCTTTCCGAAGTGAGGAACTGATCTGTTTTAAAACAAAATGAACCTGTATAGCCTCAGGAAAGGACACATTTTCAGAACTGTGCTTAGAAATTGTTGACATATCAAAACCCATCAATGTGTAGGCTGCCCAACTCTTGTCAATATCGAATGTGAACGCATCACTCACGCTAAACATGGAGACTCAGATGTCATGCATGAAAAATGAACAAATCGATGCAAACCATACTTTAACAGAAAACAAAAAAAAACTCGAAACTTGGAATGCATGCTCTTCTCATAAGAACGATGGCCCATACTCACAATTTGGTGAGCTTATCCTTAATCCTAGCAGGAAGAGGAATATTCCACGAACGTGCTAAATGTCCAATGACCAGCTGTGTCATAATACGCGTTCCTATACAGTCCCAATGAACACCGTCTTTCCTGAAAAAAAAAAAATATATTTCGACAAAATGAACAAAGAAAGTTTGCAAAAAGAGGGTAGGGCACTGACACGCGATATGCGTAGAGTGCGTGATTTCGCATGTAGAAGCCGATATCAAGCACATCATAGCCAGCTGCGCGGAACAATTGCGAGGCACGGTAATTAGCATCCACAATCATCATTCTGAAAAAATGGCTCGTGATTCTCTGAATGATTTGTCGGACTAGTAACTTCTTCTTTTATCAGCCATGCTCTTCTGATGCTCATACCCCGGAATGAGGAAGGCGAACGAGCGTAGCAGCGTTAGACACCTGACAGATCCAGGAACGCAGGCCGAAATGAGTGTCAACCAGACGTGCTCCCGCTGCAAGGGTCCAGGGATATTCTCTCGAAGCATCCACCAGTCCAGTATTTCAAGGGAGAGGTAAAGGAGGAGGGATCAGAGAAGGGAGGAAGAAAAGAAGGAAGGAGGAAGAAAAAGGAAAGAGAAGAGAGGCTCCCGGTTGACAAGTGCCCTGAGACGAATTCGCACAAAACGGAACCACCCTCCCTAAGAAGGAACGATCTCTAGCAGTGTGCAGCATCCGGGTAATCGGAGAGAAACAGCTCAGAAGACTTCTAGTTACCTGAACTACAAGCCAGAGGACTTCGTGAGCCGATGAAGTCCCAATGAGGGGTCGCATTTGGCGGCTGCAGGGAGAGTGGTTGTTTTGGCATGAGAAATTCCTTTTGAAGACTCATTTTCCACTGATTCACGCGTGCTAACGTCAGGGTTGGGAGACACCCATGAGGATGTGTATAGGGATTATCTGCTCGTCGCTTCGACTGGAGGGAGGAGGGGGCTGGTGGATGGATAAGTATCTGGCCTTCACAAAACTGTCTCACCTTGTAAAACAAGAAATTTCTTTGATGCAGTCGAATTTTCGCGCTTTTTCCCGTTCCACTACATACCCGCCTTCCCCCTTCCTCCACGGAGTTGTTTGAGGAAAGTGAGCAATTTTCGGGGTATTTCGGAAAAAAATGGTAGGAAGCTGAAGAATTTAAGAAAGTTCTAGGCAGAATGGGGATGGGGGAACTGGAGGCACTTAGAAAGGAAATGAGGGGAGTCTAGCCGTGTTTTTAAAAATCTCAGCATGCGGCAGGTGTCTGCGGACAAATGGCTGCATATGCGACCCTTACCGGTTGAGATGCTTTGTGTCACTGTTATCAACTCTGTTCAAAATCGACCGCGTATCCGAGGGAACAGGCCAGGGCATGTTTATCCAAATCACCTGGAATCACTTATTCTGTAAGCAGTATATTAGCTGGTTACCGTCAGTAATACTACCTGCGTAGTTGGCGGCATAATCAGACGAAGACGTCGAATCAACATAGACACCCTGAAAAACTCATGAACAACACATAAGCGAAAAATAAGCGGTAATTAGCGAAATTATTGTGTTTCCACACTAACCGTTCCAGGAACTCCTCGAGAGCAGCGCGCTCGACCGCTGCTTGTCTGTTAATGTTGGGAGGAACATCGTAATCAAAAGCTTTCGAATACCTCAAATGTTGACAGTGAAATGTAATCTCTGTAGAGCTACTTTGTCCGTCTCAATCAAATGATAAAAATTTAGTGATTTAGTTTTTCCTATCACAGTACACGAATCTGGTTATAGTTGCGGATAAACATGTGAATAAATGATAAAATCAGAGGTGAGAAATGAATAAATCAGTGAATAAATCTTTCAGCAATCTCTTTCAGCAATGCCTTGTGCAATTACTTTTCAGAACTAGGTTCTTTTTGGATATGCTAAAAACTGTTGAAGTCTCATACTGTTATTGAACATTCGAATCAAGCTAAACATCTGGATACAGCCGTTGTCCATGCAAACGAGAGGGCGCGTGAAGAGGCATGAAGTGGAAGCGCAGCAAAGGCACAGCCTTCCTTTCCACCAATGTTACTGAGCCTCAGTTGGCCATCAACTGGTGGCCCTGACGCTTGCGCCCTCAATATGTGCCTTTGCGCATACGTCCATTTGCAGGGGACCGTACCAATCTAATGGCAAAATTCGGTGCTACTGGTTTTGGGGGCGGCAGGAGGGGCGGCGCTGCGATTACTACGTCAAGTAACGTCATCTTAAATAACGCGCACTATCAACGAGGTAGTATTCGGCGTGGTTGGCTGGCTCCGGCGAGGTCTTGTTTGGTGCACTTTCAGATATGGGCCTACTAGTGATTAACAGTGATAAGCAGTTCAATATAAAAGAATGATGCTAAAACACCACATCCCGCGGTGCTAACGTATTTGGGGGGGGCACGCGGCTCGCGGCCAGTGATGACTCATCGGCTCTTCTGCTCCCTCCTCGGCAAAATAGAAGTAATTTCATGTTTAGGACATGAATATAACACCGTCCTAGCTATATTCAAAAGTTAAAACAGTTAACGCTGAAAAATGCGAAGAAGCAGCTGGAAGATTCTTGCCTAAACTACAAAAGATTGCTGCCTGTTTGTTGTTGACTGTTATTGTTGACTAAAAAAGTTCAGACATTTGTTTTCAGCTTCTGTGGGATTTCTCAGCAAGTTCCCGGTGAATCTTGTTTGTTTTATTCTAATTTATCTGCTAGATTCGCGCTTCAAGTATGCCGATGAGTGAAGAGCCGATGAGTCATCAGGTAGTGCCCCCCCTCCCCCAAATACATTAGCACCCATCCCGCTCACTCAGCATTGTTTCGCATTGATATATTGCTGCCGCTTCACAGACGGCCTGCCGCGCCCTAATTGCAAAACGCGACGCAACCGCGAGAGAAATCGATACGAAGCGAACGCGGTGTTTCGAGCAATTAGAAGTTCTTCATCGACATGTCGTCCGCCATTGAACAAGATGGTCCTTCTCAATGTCCACCAACGACCTCTGCCCCTAAAGCGGTCACTGTTACTGCTGCTTCGTATGGATCCGCTGTGTCAACAAGCGTGGAGGATTCCGCGAACCAGGAACGAGTTGAGGAACAAGAGGAAGAGGCCGAAATGAAGTATGGTGCACGTCATGTAATCAACCTTTTTGTTCCGGTCTCATTATGTATGGTTATGGTAGTGTTCACCATGAACACCGTCACATTTTATTCGCAAAACGACGGTCGCCATCTTTTATACACTCCTTTCGTCAAGGAAACCGACAGCGCTAGCGAAAAGGTCCTTATGTCATTGGGGAACGCTCTTGTTATGTTGTGTGTTGTCGTAGTAATGACTGTCATTCTTATCTTCTTTTACAAGTACCGATGCTACAAGTTGATTCATGGATGGCTCATGGCTAGCAGTTGTCTTTTGTTGTTTTTATTTACGACTATCTATCTTCAAGAGGTTATGAAGAGCTTCAACATATCATTATCTGTCGTAACCGTTTGTTTCTTTCTTGGCAATTTTGGCGTCCTTGGCATGATGTGTATCCATTGGAAAGGTCCTTTAAGATTGCAACAGTTCTACTTAATCACTATGTCTGCTCTTATGGCTCTAGTATTCATTAAGTACCTACCAGAATGGACTGTATGGTCTGTGCTAGCCGTGATTTCTATTTGGGACCTTATCGCTGTGCTAGCGCCTAACGGCCCCCTACGTATTCTCGTCGAAACTGCTCAGGAACGCAACGAGCCGATTTTCCCTGCTCTCATATATTCGTCTGGCATGGTTTATTCCTTTGTGTTCACTGGTGCATTGGATGGTGAAGAGAACCAGGCCCAACCTCAACTTCAACAAGCGAGCTCATCCGACGATTCGACGCCTTCGGTGAGCGGACTTCTTCCTTCGAACAACACCACCACTAAAGTGAAACGATTCGCTCCTCTTCGGCAATCTGAGAGTGCTGTTGAACACATCGCTCAGGAAGCAGCTCGCTCACTCAACGAGCTTGCGACTGTGGCACAAAGCATCAGAGTCCAGCCGAACCTAATGCGAGGTGAACGTGAAGAAAAAGGAGTGAAACTCGGCCTTGGCGACTTCATTTTCTACTCGGTGCTGGTGGGAAAGGCGAGCAGTTACTTCGATTGGAACACTACTGTTGCTTGTTATGTGGCAATCCTTGTTGGTCTTTGCTTTACTTTAGTGCTTCTTGCCGTCTTTCGCCGAGCTTTACCCGCTCTACCGATCTCCGTATTTGCTGGGCTACTTTTCTATTTCTGTACAAGATGGATTGTCACTCCATTTGTCTCGCAACTTACACGCCGTCAATGGGTTTATTGAAACAGTTCATTACTACGCTCTCATATTTATTTTTTTTCTGAATTTTCGTATCCTATATTTATGTTTGTCAATATCTCATTATGATGAAGATTAGTGTAGACATATATGTACATTGTTCCTAGATTGATAAAGTGTCCAGTGAGCTTGTCGATGTGTTGCAAGAAGAAGGGCGTTCTTGGTATGTTCAAAAACCTATTTTTGGAGAAAAAAATCGTGTGTGTCTAAAACTTCTCTACCAAAGTTAGTATAGCTAGCGAGCTTCGTGGCCTGCGCAACTCTTGTTCTGGTAAACGACAGTCCACAGCGCAACCTCATGCGCACTTTTTGTTCCGTTAGTTGCCTACAGTGTGCTGGGTGGATGGGAGTTGGGGTACGGCATGCCTGCGGCATCCTTAACCAGGTTGGTTCGTAAATGGGTCACTCAAGTATCGCGTACAGTTCGCTAATGAGGGTCCGCATTACTCTGAGATGTATCGGATTTTTCGGAGCTGGAGGGATCGTACTTGAGGCACGGATGGCTGGATGTCGCGAAGAACGATGATGGGGGGGGGCACTTTCACTGGCGATTTTGCGTAATTATAAAAACCACGAATGGCTGCGAGAACCCAAAGCACAGCTTTCAGGACCCGGCTAGACCAACCTGGTTATATCCCATAGACATGAGTTGATAAGCAAAACGTCTGGAAATTCGTTGGCAGAGCATAATTCCAAAAGTGCGGTTTCCACGTCATCTTTCATTACTCTGAAATGGCGAATAAGTGATAAGACGTAATAAATGAAGTCGCCGGGCTAGTCGCTCACCTTGTTGTGAAAAGATATTGAATAAGGTAATAGTTTGTCTGGTATTCTCGTGCTTGTCGAAAAACGCGGTCCTTCTCCAAAGGAAGAAAGTCAATCTGCATAAGACAAACTATTTGGCTGTTAACGAAAGACTTTCGAAATGTCATATTAACGGACCTGTCTGTCGCCGAAAAATGAGTTTTCCGTCTTGCCTCTCAAATTGCCATCATCTATGAGTTCACCTCCGTGTAACATTACAATCAGATCCTTGTAAATACCTCGCATTACTAGAAATACAGTAAAAATGGAAGCAGATTGTCACGCTAGACCTCACATTTAGGTGAAATAGGCCCAAAATTTCGTAATACCATTTAGATGCCATCACAGACAGAATAAGAATTCAACAAAAAAAAAACTGTTTGAGGGGGGGGGAGGTACGACAAATCGATGCCAAAGAAGTGGCTGGATGCGCTCGGTGAAATTCCGAATTTGGGAAGAAGCCATTGAACTTCTAAACCTCTGGCGCCCGCTCGAACGACTGATGACCAAAACGAGCCATGCATGCGATGCGGGATAATTCTCTTGAGAAAGCGATGATGACATCTGACACTGTGGTGACGGTGAAATAAAGTTGGTTCAAAAGAAAATGGATGTCTTTTATTCTTTGGAAGTTGATGAATTTAGCAGAGCCTCCCATGTGTATAAGAGGCCTATATGCCTCACCGTTTATTATTGCGAAGCAAGTATAAAAAATATGAGGCGCTATTTACCCTTCATTGCGTTGGTCGATCGGAATAAAGTCACTTTTTTTACCTACTTCCTTCTCCAACGACCAAAAATTCGTTTCCCAGATCAAGTTGTCCCCCTGAACAATAGTACCGTATCCGCTTGACACAAAACTACCGGGCGCCCGCGCCACAAGCGCCGACGCCAAAGTGAAACCTTGGGCACAACGGTAGTGTGGCCTCCTGAACAGAATTATCACGTCTACTTTAGGTGCAGTTGAGGATGGAGGAAAGGAAGTGCATGACAGCGCATCCTGCTTCTGCATGTCTGCACACTTCCCCCGAAAAAAGGATGCCTTCCTTCCTTTGCCTAGGGTTAGGAAGGAGAAAAGGAAGCACAGCATCACACGCCACGCTGAAGGGTATCTAGTCTCGACGTGTTTGTTTAACCCATTGCGGTCAAAAGATGCCTATGGTGTCGTTGCTTTCGATGCCGTTTGTCGCGGTTTCATGCTAAGCGATGTGATATGCGTGTTCAGGATATCCTACAACACGTGAACTTAAAATTTCAACGAAATGTGCTGATGGAGGAAGAAATCGTTGAAGGCGCAGTTCAGCGACGAGGGGGAGGGAAAGCATCTCGCACGTTCATTGCTTTGCTGCTTTCAGTTTACATGTTATGGTTACTTTGGTGAAACCTGTGAACTGTAGTGGAGCTGGTCTAAGCTCGTAGAGCCACCACGGTACAAGATGTCAATCCTCGTAAGCTCACTGGCTCTCTACATGAGTCGTCGATAGGAAGTAGCAAAAGTGAAAAATGCCCTCCCCCTCCGTTGCCGCACTGCTCCGTCGTTGAGAAACAGGCTTGATTTTGAAAGATTTGGGAAACAGGCTTGATTTCGGAATATTTCGACACAAAGGGTAAATTGCGCCGCAAATGTCATTAGATGGCCGAAGTTTGATAGGATATCCTTTGCTATGCTAGTAGAAAGGAAATTGACCCCCCCCATTAAGAAATCTAAACCAAACTAAACAGATCATACACTTGGAAAACAACTCACACGAGTCTCCTATTGCCATTACATGAACGTCTTTCAGCAGAGCTCTAACAAACTTGGAGTCATATGGAAACCCTGCTGTAGTTGAGCCAGTTGCTTTTGCTTTTAAGTGATTTAAGAACAGGTCTGGAATGTCAATATCAAGGCTAATTTCTCACAAAAAAGGGTGGAAAAGGCACTCACTCTAGACTAGTAACATTCTCTTCTTCTTCAAGTGGAGTATATTCCTGAGATTGAAAGAATGCTGACATTCTGAAATCATTGCCTTCTGTGATGCTAAACAGTAGTAGCAGTGTATTAAGATGCATAAGGAGATATGAGTGCTTTGAACGTACCAGAACCAGAAACAATTGCCAATAAATGACACTTTATTCAAAAAGGTCAACAAAATCATTGAGCATCTAAGGTTTTAATGTCAAAAATTAGTCTCGCTATGGCTGAATCCACATTGTATGGTACAGCAGGAATGGCAATTCGAATGTTTGATGAGATCAGAACATTATTTGATGCAATTCGATGAGCCTGAAAAAGCATATGAAACCTCGATTGGTAGTGGCCTTGAATGGTCTACAATAAGAACAATTGCGCTGCAGTACGCTCAACTTATAGTCTTGTTTGCCGCGGAGAATGAGGCGTGTCAGCGCGGCTGTGTTTGGTTGGGCCACTCCGCTTTTTTCTCTCGGCGAGTTTTAGACTGTACCACATGGCTCATATCAGTCCTTTTCCGCCGTCTCCTGTTGCCGCCACCCGCTTCAACAGGTGGGGGGGGGGAAGGGGAACCGGGCCGGCAGCGTGCCAAATGCAGTCGCGCTGACACCCCATAATCCGCTGCGAACAGGATTGTATGACTAGAGGTACTTTCCTTTCAGTCTCCTTGATTGCGCGGCTTAATCCTACTCTAATGGGCGCAGTTCTTGTTAGTGGGGGCTTTTAGCTGGTTGCTACTGATCATGTGGAGACCTGTAAATTCCTGTACAGCAATGCTGCAGCGCAACTTCGTCGTACTTATGCCTTTCAAGAGTTCCAGGTCCACCAAGTCAGCCATCTGCAACAAACAGGGATCTTTGCAGAAATCTACGAAGCGGAACTCTCTACCTATTCCCCGCCCCTCGAACAGCGCCCAAAATGCTCAAAAGAGCATCATCATATAATGATATGCGGAGATCAACTGTACAGGAATCAACGGTAGCCAACATCGCGAAAGAATCTTACCTCTCTCAAGAAGTCCTCAACAATTAGCAAATCGCTGGAAAAATTGTAACTGATGGAACTCATTGAAGGGCCTTCCTTCCTGATTGTTTTGAGAATCTCTGCCCACCGAACATCAACCAAATGGCGATATTGTGTTTCGTGCTGTGATAGCTTCATCCTCATTTTCGTGAGTAACCTGTTGTACATCACATAACTCATAATTTCATGAATGATCGAAAAGCTAACATTATTTTGTGACAAGCCAAACGAAAACAATCCTCGCTATTTCCTCACCTCGATCGCCAGCCATCAATTTGTGCGAGATTAATTGACTGGGGTAGTTTCTCTACTATCTCTACTTGCTCAAGCAGTTCTCGAATATCCTCGTTGAGGGTACTTGCTGAACTGTGGACTTCGTTTATGGAAGAAATAGCCGTTTTGAGTGACGATACAGAGCTCGACGATGGTCGGTCCGCCATCTGAAAAACGACGCGATAAACAGGAACTCAATGGAATGCTAGATTTTAGCGCCAACTATGCAACAATGGAAGGCAAACATCAGTGACATGACCGACGTCCGGTATAGTGTAACAATCATTTGCGAGGAAAGGACTATTACACCGCCTTCATGCTTTGCGACATTGAGTAATCCGAAAATCACGGTATCTGGATGTCACGGCATAGGAAGGTGGGTCACCTTTCGGTAAGGAAGACTACTGGTTATTCAGAATGAAATGCGACTCAGAGGAATCTACCACATGTACTTGTCAACCAGACGTGCTCACGCTGCGAGGGTCCAAGGGTATTTTCTCGAGGCATCTACCGTGCACTGGTTTAAGGGAGAAGTTAAAGGAAGGGATCAGAGAAGGGAGGAAGAAATAGAAGAAAGGAGGAAGAAAAAAAGGGAAGGGTAGAAGGCTTCCCGGTTGACAAGTGCCCTGGGACGGGGTTTCTCAGAACAAGTTTCGCTTCCACACTATTTCTTCGATATTTTCCGTGTTAAATTGTATTATTACAAAACATTACAATTATAGCAATTAATTACATTTATTGTCGGAAGGTGCTACGTTAGAGCTGGAGAGGGGAGAATTTTCAGCCGCCAACGTAGTTGAGGGAAGAGAGACCACTCGGCCGCGCCTCTACACCCTTACTCCAGAAGGGCTTCGAATGCGTTCCTCTTTCGCGATCCGAACGCTTTAATTCGCGATGTCAAGCGATTGGATCGCATCGCGAAGTGTGAAAACGCTGTTGGGCTCAGAACGCTAATCCCAGAGTTGCCGAGGAATAGTCCTGCAGAGAAGACATAGTCCACACAGAGCTTGAGCCTCGATTAGAGAAAGGGGTATGAAAGCACTGGAGAGTTCCCCTCCCCGCTCCTTCCCACCTACGCTAACGCCATTTTTCGCGTGGACCAAGGAAGGAAGAAACTCCACCGCATCACCCACCTCCTTCCCCCTTTTCCCTTAGGTTCAGATTAGGTAAAAAGCTTTTCTTGAACATTTATTACAATAAATGTTCACGAGAAGCTCCTGAAGGCTTAAGTGCAATACTAATTTAATACAATAAATATTTCCATCAAGCACCTGGACCAAATACCTTAGAATACTACACTGGAGCAGCTTCATCATTGACGAACTAACTTAACGACCTAAATGAACGACCAAGTAATCGTTCATTTTTGGACCTCATCGCGCAATGTCGTTTAAACAATACATAACTAAAACTTAAGGAAAAGGACCTAAGATTTCAGGAAAAAAGGAGCAATCATGGTCATCATTCTACTAAAAGATTGGGGTCTTCTGGTTTGAAGAAAAGAGGAAAAAAAAACTGCAAGAAGACTCGACCGTGTCACAGGTTGTTGACCCTGTTGTCGCAATGCGGCCAGGCGTGAGCTGTCCTGAAGAGACCTGAAGTCGCGAAAAGCCGGATTTTGACATCCACTGAAGGACTGAGGTGTTATGGCTTATAAACTCTTCAGAACAGTCATCCTTCTCTCAAAACGCCTTCTTGAAATTAACGGCTAGTAGGTGAGCTTTTTCAACATCCGAATACAAGGCCATTTTTCAGGTAGGGGATATTATAACAGGTCAGACTAATTTCAAAATCGAATCTTCAAATTATCACAATCTGACTTGAAAGAATACAACGACAACTATGACGAACTAGGGGTTCACGAACACACAGCAAATCGTTTGCGACAGCTCTCTGGACGTTGGAATAGATTTCACTTTTTCATGCAAGCTGTGAAATTAAATAGGGAAAAAAGCTATCTTCAAGAAACAACACCCACCTTGAATTTGAATACTTGGCAGTTTCCTCCATTCTTCTTCGCGGCGATACGGTGCCGAGACGAATTCGCAAAAATGCGTACGCCGCGGTGCTGATAAAACGAACTCGAATTGCAGACACGTTCCTTCCTTATTGATCGTTTTGTCGAACTCCATCTGGTGACTTGAGGCTGAAGTCGCCGTCCTTCTACGATGGATAGCTCCCATGTGATCATATGTTGTTTTGTATACAATCCGCCTCGTATCGATTGCTCCCTCCTACGTGCTATTGACGCGTTGATCTACGGGTTTCCGGCGGTAATTGTCCAATCGATAATCGCCCCGCTTTCTGCTAATAGCATCCTGTTGGAAATCAATCTTTCAAAATGGATGGTCTGGATTCATTCATATATCAGTACGAAGCTTTGCTAAAGTTTATACCATATGGTGTGAGTTCTCCTGCCATTGTTCGGCTGTTATTACGGCCCTTTGTCTCGATCTTTGTTGATGGTCTCTTTTGTGGTCAGTGCACGAACTGTACGTTAACAGCGTCCACAGTATTGGAGCATTTAATGTTCGTTTCACCAGTTCTTTCCTTTTGAAGGTAAAAATTTCCTCCAAGCATGTTTGCTTTTTCCAGCTGAAATCCCAAACCCAACTTACCTTTCTGAGCCGTCCTTCCTAGGCAGGAATATAAGAGTTCAGGGGGAGCTTCACTTCACCCACCCTATAACACTTCCCGTGGCAAAGATCGAATAAATATAAGCTTTTCTTCGCATTCTCCAACACCACGTGACGCCTATCGTTGGGGAAAAATCGAAGAGAATGTTAGAAAACGAAGCGCAAGGCCACAGGGCTTCTGTCAACCGGATTTTCTCCTGCTTCAAGAATCTAGAAGTATTCTCTCATCACGTCTTCTGACATGAGCATTTGAAGGGAGGAAAACAAGGAATATGAAGGAGAGAAAGGGAGAAGAAAAAAAGGGAGCAGGAAGGTTTCGCAGTTGAAAGATATCTGAGAACGGGTGTCGGTCGGATGGCGTGGCTGGCAGCTGTCCTACCGTAACTGGGACGCTGCTGGACGCTAATTGACACCTCCCTGAGCCTGTTCAGCCGCTCCCTCGGACCGGGAGAACCTCGGTCCGACAACGCCATGCGTCCATTACTGATTCGTTCTATAATTGGATGCCGACCTACAATGGTGAGAGCGCTCTCCGTAAACGCCGAATTGCGCGACTGATAGTCAACTTACGCATTCTTCCGTTTTTTCGACTTTTTTTAGCCTACCAGCCATTACATAACTACAGCTATAAACGGCTATCGATTATTCAATGCATTTCTGTACAACTGCGGAGCTACTAAACCAGTGGTGAGTTTTTTTACAGTTGCTTAAAAATTGATTTCTATACTGTTTGCTTACTGGAAGAGCACAGTTTCATGACCATTCCGGGATCATGACATATTCTTCTTCTAAGTTCGCTCGCACTTATTTTCCTTGTTCACGATCATTGAAGTGTTCCTACACGTTTGCACAAAAAAGTTAAAAGAACAGCTTCACGATGCATTATTCTTCAATACATATTCTTGCTTTACCTGATACAATTTTCCTGGACTCAGTCCCTTACTCCATTTCTAAGTTGGTATTGACATTGTGACCCTGCTGACGAGCAACATTTCTCACTAATTACTGCCATAGGGGAGCGTGCGACGTCGCTGTCTCATTTGATATGCCCAAAGGAGACAGAAAGTCTCCCGTAACTCATCCCGAAAAAGAACTTGAGGTCGTAATTGGGTCATGACATGCTAGTGGCTGTTTCTAAATGAATCACAGATTATTCGTCACTTGACTGCATTGTGAACTTGTTTTGCTTTCGCCATGTCTACTAATTTCTATAACATTAATGGCTAAGCACGAGGCGTCACGAGAAACGAATTGGAAGATTATTGGGCACTATTGAACTATTCCTACCCCAAAACCCTCAAAAAATTTTTTTCGCCGAAACGTTGTCTATAGGTGTAATTCGATGCCCTGATCACGATTATCACATTCGTCGAGCGCTATCGTCATTTGGCGCCATTATGCGCCAATTTGGCGCCCACCATTTTTCACCAAAGTTGATAAAAACTTGCATCTACAAAGGGCTAAAAAAACACTTGTTAGGAACTCTTCGATGATCGTTAACAAGGAAAAATAACTGTGAGCGAACTTAGAAGAAGAATGTGTCATGATCCCAAAATGGTCATGAAACTATGCTCTTCCAGTAAGCAAACAGTATAGAAATCAAGTTTTAAGCAACTGCAAAAAAACTCACCAATGGTTTAGTAGCTCCGCACTTGTACAGAAATGCAATGAATAAGCAATGGTCAATATACAATATTAGTAGTGTGGTTTCAAAATAGTTGGTAAGGCCAAAGAAGTCGAAAACCCGCTCAAAAACGGAAGAGAATGGGTGGTTGGGCGACCAGTACGCAATTCGGCGTCTACGGAGGCGTCCTACCATTGTAGGTCGATCAATGATGCGAATCAATTACGTAGCGCGTGGACGAGTTCTCCGGTTCAAGGGAGCGGCTGCCCAGGCTCAGGGAGGTGTCAATTAGCGTCCAGCAGCGTCCCAGTTACGGTAGGACAGCTGCCAGCCACGCCATACGACCGCCTCCCCGCTGAGAGACGGAATTGCAAACTTTCCTATGCAGAACTGCGGTTACCGTAATCCGACGAAGTTTTGCACCGAATGCCCCATCATTTTTCATTGGTATCCTGTTCGGATTGAGAAGGAGCCATAACGGAGAATGCTGAATAAACCTACAATACTTTGCAAGTCGTGACAAACGTAGTGTTGCCATTCACATGATAGTTGCGGATCTTATCTGCGACGCATTTTCACTTTGTACACCAATCGGCCCTAATTGTGGTCGTAGGTTTTGTTTAAAATTCCCCTTCATCATTCCTGAATTGTCTGCTTAGCGTTTTAGGAGTAAGCAGGGGAACTTATTAATACTATACTGCAGTTCATCTGCGACGGTTGGCGCTGTTCGAGTCGCGCTGCGTTGGCCGTTGCCAAACTCGTTCTCTGCGAGTTGCTCTACGAGTTGTACAAACGAGCGAATGAAATACTCTATCATACCCTTCGTATTACTTGTTTTCTGATGTTTTTTGTCGCATGCCGGTTTCAACAAGAAGGTAGAGAACAGCTCAAAGAGGGTGACACACTC